AAACTGGAATGAAGTTACACAGAGGTAAGTTTTGTGTGATAATTAAAGAAAGATAAAAAGCAAGTAAGGGATTAAAGAATAAAAACGGAACCTATGACAAATGAGAAAGTGGCTGTTACTTTCCTTTTAGTTATTCTTCCATCTTAGAATCCTGAACTACATTCCTTTTCCCCCAGAGTTGACTTTCTCTCAGCTGAAAGACAGCAGCATTAGAAGTAGCACTTCAATACTAAAAAACTAAAACAGGGTGGATGGTGACGCACTTAACAGACAAGGGATAGACCAAATTATTGGGTGACAATTTTCCTTCTCTTTCTTTTTATTTCTTTTCTTTCTTTCTTTCTTTCTTTCTTTCTTTCTTTCTTTCTTTTGTTTTTTTCTCTTTCTTTCTTTCTTTCTCTCTTTCTCCTTCCTTTCTTTCTTTTCTTCTTTCTTTCTTTCTTTCTTTCTTTCTTTCTTTCTTTCTTTCTTTCTTTCTTTCTTTCTTATGATTTTCTAAGACCTTCCTGGCTTGGCCTCACTTAGCCCAGTCAATAGCTGAAAATACAAAATTTTAGCAATCTAAGAAAGACTAAAATCCTACAGTCTAATTTCTATATATTGTGGTCACACACAGGATTTCCAATTGCAAATTTCCTTCTTAATTATAACAATTCTAGCCAAATTTTATTGTCACTTATAAATTCTAAGGTATTGCTTAGAATTCAAGAAGAATACAGATAGAGATAATAAAAGACATCAAAACTGAACACCAGGAGGAAAAAAGCATATTTAATAAGATCAGAAGTTCATCTAATTAAAAAACAACCTTAATCTGAACCCGACCTTCTGCCTTACAACAGCCTGAATTTATACCTGTGCTCTAATGACTGATGGCCAAGATGAGCTCACAGAATCATCAGCTCTAGGTTTACTAGCCAAGTCCTTACTAATAAAGTTTTTGGTCCTACCGGGGTCTAGAACCAAGCTTTGAGTCTGGTGTTCTGAGAAGAGCTGTTACAAAGAGGAAGAGAGAGTACTGAAATCGGGTTGGCTGATGTGCAATTTCTGTAGGAAGTATGCAGATACTGGCTGAACTTTGCTTACCAGACTGAGAATACTGTTATTCTATAGAAGACTTGAAATCTGTGCATACATCATCGCCATTTACTGTTCAAAAACTCTGCAAACTTTACTTCAAGGATATGTTCCCGTGCTTTCAATTTAAAAGATCAGACAGAAAATGGCCAAAGAGGAAGAATTTCCCTTCATTAAACAGCAAGCTGTTTGTCCTCTAAATATTCATTTATTGCATTAATTATTTAAAATAGTGTGCAGTTTTGAACATGTGAAAATTATACTATTACATGTTCATTTATACTTTGCTCCATTCTATAAAGAATGTGCATCAATCAAAACAAAACAAAATGAGAGAGCTCATGAGTCAAATCCTTGGACTATAGAGGAAGAACCCAACTGTGTCCTCTAGACTACAGCTTTTGAGAGCTGATATTTGAGAGCATATGGTCCAGCAAAGGGGTGTAGGAGCCTGAAAGTAGAAAGAGCCTCAATATTGATTTGAGGGGTTATAATCACCCCATTTCACCTTTTAGTTGAAGAGAGCTGTCAGCATGACCATTGCGGTTTGATAAGAAGCATTAAAACATCTCCTTAGAAATGGAACCCTGAGCACCAAATAAGTAAATAATTAATCACCATCCATAATTACTAGTCCCAAATCTTCTTCAGCCAAGTTCCTTGGCTTCTATCTGACCCTCATTCTCTGAGTCAGTTGAGCCCATTGGAAAGAAAAGGGATTCAAAGGAATCCAAACAGAATGCCCTTCTAGAGTTTGAAACTACCCATCTTCATCACATGCAACACAACTTTATGCATCTTGCATGAATTTATAACATCTTATTTCATTTTTGCAAATCATATTGTACAAAGTATGCAATGTGTGTGTGCAAAAGCTGCAAACCTATGTCAGTTCCATTGTTTGGTGTCCTTGATAGAGCCTTTCATGTAATTCAACATCACAGCATCATGAGGCTTCTGAGGAGTCCTCTTAATTGCTGCTGGATAGAATTTAAATTCCTGGAAAGCTGACCTGTAGTTTCCTCCTGCGACCATGGAAGAATCATTTCTGAATTTCCAAGCCACCATTCTATTCTCATAACTTGACAGAACAAAACACAGAAGGTATATAGTGCTTGTTTATTCAGTCAGGCAAACGCTTATCTTTGTTTGGCTTGGCAGTAAAAAGGCTAAAACGTGTAATGGAAAGATGCCTTTGCAATAAAATCCTCCAGCAAATACTTTCAGTGTGGCTTCAAACAAGAAAGAGGCATTCTTCATACCCTTCACTGAAGTGGTGTGTTATTACTCTGAGTTAGTATTCTATTAAGCCAAGTACTTGGACCACTTATTAACTTTAACTTGTAACCAAGAAACAGTGAGCTCCTCCTAAGACTGTACAATGACCAACACTCCAGGTTAAGGATAGGAAGATGAGAATTCCTATTTAGATCATGATCTTGAGAAACTTCTGAAGACTTCTCCAGACCTGCTTTGTATCAGTTTTTCTCTCTTCCTGAAACAAAAGAGAAAGAGGCTCTCTCTATCCTGTCTATCAAAAGGGTGTAATGCCGTCATACACCAGAACTAGGGTTTCTGAAATCAAAGCACATGTCTCCTTTAAAATGCTTTCTGTTCACTGCCATTGGTCTGTTGCCAACTTCTGATCTTCCACAAAGAAACAGAGGAGCATGTGAAGATGAAGAAAGACAGCGTCTTTCTAAGCCTTTTTTTTTTTTTCTTAACAAGAAGACAGAAGAGCATGGAAATTGATCCAAGAAGGACTCTTACAGTGGGACAATAAGAAAGGATTCCCATCAAACACCAAGACCCATTTACTGCAGTACTGAAAGGTGAAGTTATCTATACAGAAAACAACAACAACCAGGGAGTTGAGAAAGGGAGCAGGAATGCTAATTGGGTCACCTGGCATAAAACACCCCCTTCGTCCTGAGTTAAGTGCCTCAATAACGAATCCTTTTAAGGAGCCCAGGGGAAAACAGTCAGACAGGGCACCAGTATCCACCCTTGCTCAGTTCGTTCACAACAATAACAAATTGACACAGCGTGAGGTGAAATGGATGAGGGGTTACCTAGCTCCAGGCACAAAAGAAACCATTCAGAATTCTCAACTCCTCTATACATCCTTTGAACACATTCATTACGGAGCGACAGTGGCATGAATAAGCAAATTTGCATTTTTCTCCCAAAACTACAGACTTGAACTGCTCGTTTCTTTCCAGTCAAAGGTAGAGGTGAGGCTAACAAAAAGAAAAGGCGACTGTACTACTGTGCATCCAAAGACTACAGGCATCCTAGCTACTGCAACATAAACAAATGGGCTCAGACAATAGGACTTAGCTAAGACAGAAGCAGTGAATTGCTTTATAGCATGGTACACTTTATAGAAGTGAGAATGGCAATCATTTAAAGGGAAAAATCACCTCTGCTTTGTTTAAAGCAAATCTTAAGAAGTCTGACATTGACCATAAAGAAAGCTTTAAAAAAAATAGAAGAAAAGTGGACACATGACTACTATGTATGAAAGACTACTTCCAGGACCTTTTAATCTCAGGATTAAGGGCTACTGGTGTGATATTTTCTGGAAGAACAACTAGATCCTTATGCTGACGTCAGACCCTCACCAACAAGGGAAGCAAGGCACTGGCACCAAAGCCCTTCTGAGTTGGGAACTCTGGTGATGCAGTTGGAAGTGGGCCACTGAGGCCTGTAGGCATGCCACCCCGACTCTCTCACAGGCACATCAGAGCTTGGTGACAGCGGCTGTGTGGTCAGCAGAGAAGGGAGATACGCCACAGCCCTGGTTCTGGACGACTCTGGAGTTGTAAAAAAACAGACACCAGACAAGAGTGACAAGAGGTGGGGAGGAGGTCTCCCACCCTACCTTTGCTGGAAGCGATTTCTAGCTGGGAATGAGAACCTCTGTAACCCAGTAAGTGATTTTGCTGGTGTCTTAAACTATGGGACTGTGGTTGGCCACATGAGCAACTATAAACCCCTCAGAATTGTGTTTATGTATCTATTTCTTATCTTGAGTCCGGTCAAGATGTTTGTGTGGGAAACGTACTTTGAAAATCAGGCCCAATACAGTAGCACAACACATGCACACTGGGAGACAAAAAGGCTTGTAATGTGTTTTTATCATACATCACAAAGTTTCTGCTGTGAGCAATTGAATCCACGCCCCCCTATAGGAACATTAAAAACAAGCAACTTTCAAAATAAGCACCTTTGTCCTTGTCATGGTCTCAGCCATTAGCTCCTACACACTCAGTCACAGATGCCAGCATGAAATGGAACGTGATAGAACCTGTCTGGAGACCTCAACACACTGAATCATTAAATCCAGCTTTAATACCTGACCGAACGTTCAATATCTAAGCAAGTTCGGTAAGAGTTGGTGCACTTTATGGTTCATGAGGGAGAATTCTATCAGAATTCTATTGGTTCAGCCCAGAAGGGCTATCCTCGAATAGCTGAAGCATTCTGAAATGTGAGCAGGTCAGATGTTATGATTCTTTTTGAAATATTGAGTCAGCATTCAAAGTTTCCCTTAACCATTTATGGAAAAGCAGGCCAATTAACATTAGATGTCAGAGATCCATATAAACCCTTTCCTAGAGCATTTTCAAATTAAAAAAGACAGACAAAGCAGATTCCCTACCCTCCCATTTCTGTTCCTTACTCGGCTGGTTGTCATTTTCTATATTTTTGATTATGAAATATTAGCTAATGTGAACATCCTCATGTATTCTTATTGGGGATGCTTTGTATCAACAAGAAAAACTTAATTGCGTAACCATTACTTTCTCAAATGGTCTTCTTCGTTTTACACTTAGGGCTCATGACATACCTTCCTCTGCCTGCTGTCACGGGTTTTAAGAACTCTAAGTGTTCAGACTGAAGGGGTACCGACTACTCACCATATCCAGGAATGCCTTCTGAAGGGGAAGGTGTTCAAATGCATCATGTTCGCAGACCTTCCGTCATTAATATTTTCCTCGTCTCCTATGTTGCATGAGGTGATTTTCACAGATGAATCCCAACTCTCCGGCTTGAGCATCGATCAGGGACAATTATTGCCACGAGTAATGAGAATCCCCTCCCCAAAAATCACCCCCCCCAAGGAAACACAAATGGCAAAAACAAAAGCCCTTCCAGGATTTGAAGAAAGAAACATCACAGGGCACGGTAGGTATGAGTCCATCCATGAAGCTCCTACTAGTCGACACACTGAAATAGCCAGTCCATTCGCTAATGCTAAATGATGGCAAATATTGTCCTGGTGAAATCCAACTGCCTTGGGTGTGAATTAATGCATCCTCACAGAAAGGACTATGGAATGTGGACAAACAGGCGTCAAAAGACAGTTTCTTGTTATCCTTGTTAGAGAAGTGTTAGGAGGGAAATGGAAAACTTCGCGTTGCTTTTCCATGCTGTCCTTTAGGGATGAATACTGCTTTTTCTTCTTTCTTAGGTACATATTCATGTGTGGCCGCGTTAACACACTGCTACCGTCTGAGTCTGATTCGTGTCCGACAGAGACCTGGGCAGAGGGGACTAGAAACCATGTACGGTGCAAGCCAACTTCTTCTCCGAACCTTAGGATCGCCGGTTTCAAACGCTGAAGTACGAAGACAATGAATAATTTTTGTTCTGCAGGACAGGATTGGTGTGGGCTCCCATCATGACTTCAGAAGGCGCTGTTGTGATGAAATTCGTCTGCCGCCTAACCTCACAATAAGGCTGCCTGTCTGCTCTCTTTAAGTAAAATGACTAAGCTCTCAACTCTCTCACTGCAGAATCCCCTCTAATTTGTTGTCATCAAAACCGTGTGTGAGCTTTTAATATTTTGCCTTGGGAAGAAAAAAAAAAAAAAAAAAGAATTTCACAGCTGCAAGGCAGACGTCCTCTAAGAATTTCTTACTCGGCTGCCTTTCTTTTCCCTCTGTTCTGCTTACCCCCAGTTCAGTTCCCAAATAGATGTCATTTACTCTGACGCTCTGACATCCGCAAGATTCTCATGCCCAAGCCATACAGACCTCGCATGCTTTTAAAACACAGTGGCTGGCAACAGGCTCCAGCTGGAGTACCCCCCACACCGAATTTCCGGCAGAACCTTTGAATCCTCGCAGCCGCCTTGTCTAACCCCGGGCTGTGCCGACCCAGCTCTGAGCAGCTCAGGACACTTGCAGGCTCTGTGGTGTACTGTACATTAACTCTGCAGCAGCCCGCTTGCTCAGCTGCAGACTGCTGCCTGACAGGGGATGTGGTGGCGTCAAGGGGGCCCTCTAGGTGGGTTCCCAGACACTGCAGAGCCGCGCGCTCCCTGCTAGCTTTCAAGAAGAGCAAGTCAAAGGGGTTAAAGGAAGATCTTGCCCCAAGGAGCAGATTTCTTTCAGTAAGTAGTTACCAGGCATGGTGGTGGTGGGGGAGGAGGGGCTAAAGAAACCTGTAAATAACCTCACAGGGAAATGACACGCTGAACAAATAGATATTATTATGGGGGAAAAGGTTTTTCTGTTTGTTTAGTGTTTCACCTAACCAATGAAAAGAAAGGGAACAAAAGAAGTCCAGATAGAATGTGCAAATGACAGGTTTTTTTTTTCTTGAACAAAAATATGGGGGTGCAGAAGCCTAGCATACTAGATGATTTGTTACCAGTTAAGTACAGATTTCCACACTATGATTTTGGACAGGAAATCCTGGGGAAGCCAGCTCTGCAGAAGTCACTTAGACTTCTATTGCGTTTGCGCATGTCATAAAAGCTGCTTGTTTGATTAGGGGGTGTGTAGCTAGGAGGAGAGCTCCCTTTTCATTTCCTGGAGCCTGCCCCTTTGTTGCAGAAATTGTGCTCAATAATCCCCTGAAAGCACCCCATCACTGTTGATGCCATTTTGGAGCAAGAATAAAATAGTAAACTCTTGGAATTGTTGGCACTTGAATGGTACTTGTGTGAAATCAGTCAGAGAATGGGCAGTCGGTGGTAATGTGAGCAATATTAATGTATTGCTTTTAACTTGGGTATCTTCTTAAATACCATTATGCCATTATGCAACTGCTTAATATTAAATGGAATACTGGCAACACTTAATATATCATGCTATTTATCTTCAGTTAGGGTTTCCCCTGTGAATTCTTGTCCTTGCAGAAAAACATTGCTGGGGATAGGGGGGATTCCTTTCCCATAAAATCTAAAGCAAGTGTGTTTGATCAATTGATGGTCCCAGTGTAAGAATGCATTCCTGGGAGCAGGAAGGACTGAGTGATTCCTTTAAAGCAATTTGAACTCTGCATGCAGAAAGATGGCAACATATAGCACAAAGGAATTTGAGGAAAGTTACTGGCACTTCCTGTGGCCTAAGCAATGTCCTTGCAGCACCTTTGTTTTGGAGGGACTAAATCTCTCTTGTAAGGTCATCTGTGACCCTGCCCTGAACCCTTTCAGCTTGCATTGTTCTTAGCAAGCTCTCAAAGCTTGGAATCAGGTATCGCATAGTAATCCAATCTGGCACATTACACTATATACTGAATTATCATTATTTAAGATCTAGGTGGACTAGCAATGTCCCTGGCCATCTTTTAAGAGCGTCACAGGATAGTCTCACTTAACCCACGCAACAGCGCTGTTAGGTGAAGATGGTTGCTAGCCCTGGGCTGCATACGAAGAGCGGAGGCACTCAGAAGTTAAAGATCGTCCGAAGACAGACTCATCTGAAACAAGAAGCCTCACCACATGGCTTTCAACTCGAGTCTCCACTGTAGTAATGATATGGCCTGGTACTAGCTTAATGCTCTCTAAGTTTTTTGCCTGTGTTATTCTATTCCCACAACAGTATTCCCACAACAACCCCCTTGGGAAGGGCCTGTATTTGCCTGTCTTCACACTTTCAGGGAGAAGAAGCTATTTGTCCTTTTTCTTTTACGGTAGGAATGTTACGACTGGCATTAACCATTTCAAAACCAGCACTTACTTCTTATGCTACGTAAGCTAGTGGGTATCTTTAGAATGTAACATATATAGAAACAAAAATGATGTAGTGAGTCTAATTTCCACTCTAATAAATATTTTTTTCATTTGACATTTTTGTCCGTATTTAGTACATTCTATTTCCATTCTATTCATAGGCCAAAATGGTTTGTGTGTGCAACCTGACAACAGTAACAACAAAAACTCTACAAGCCTTTCCCAGATATCACAGATTCACTGTGATACTGACTAGCTATGTCTCTATTGGTGGGCAATGATATAAGCAAACACTTTGTGGGTTGAAAACACAAAATGACTCAGTTATTAGCTCACTAAATGAGATTTTTAAATTAAAATGTACTTTTAAAAGATATTTCAATTGATTTTTCCCCCCGGTGCTTGGAACTGAAATTGAGGCCTCACAAATGTTAGCCATGCATTCTGAAACTGAGTTATGCTATACCTAGCCTTCAGCTTAGTATTTGTAAGGTGAACTTTTCTTCTGATTTTAATATGTAAATATTAAATAAATATGTAAATATGTAAATAAAATAAAACAAGTTAGATGGTATTAACAACTGAGAAACTGTAACAAGCACTGAAAATTCTTGAAGTATAATAAAAGCATAGTTTATCTGGCAGTTCAGAGAGCTGAGATTACAAATTAATGAATAACCTTAGGGTGAGCAGTTTTGCAGACTCAAGGCAAGCATAAAAGAAGGGGATCGTTTTGGCTACAGAAACAGTTTTTTTTTTTTAATTCTGCATTAGATTCTGAGTTTTAAGAGTTATGACCACTATGCTACAAAAATGATACTTGATGAGAGAGTAATCAGCGAATGTGTGACTTTCAGAAAACAACAGTCGGAAGACTGAAGGAGCTTAGAGACAAGCTCTGAAAGTGAATAACGTTGAGGGACTAATAGACAACATCTCTGTTGTGTTGCATTTGAAAACAATCGTCACCTTACAGAACTTCCGATCCCAGGTGAGCCGTGACAGGCTGCCTAGCTCATCTCCGCCTCACGGATTTGATAAGTAAAGGACCACTAATTGCCAGCCGCTGACTGGTGGACCTTGTTAAGGTCCCTGTGGCTGTGCTGTAGCCTCAACTCAAGTGGCACCAAGGCTGATTATGTTTTGTTGTCTTTAAATTTTCAGGCCTGCAGAAAGCATAGGGTTAGCTGATCATTCAAGGCTGACTAATATTAACTACCCTCAAATGAGAGATGTGAGGGGAAATGTGGCTGATTTGCTATTCAAGTGTGCGCTCAAACACAGAGCACATAAAAATGCTTTAGTAAACATTTTCATTAAGAAATTACTTAGGGTTAGGGAGACAGCTCTTGGGTATGACATATGTTCTTCAAACATGAGGATTCCCGAAATCAACCCAAAAAGCTGGATGTGGAGGAACAGAGGGAAGAGGGCTTGCAGGTTTGCCAGCAGTGAGAAGCTGTCTCAAGGGACAGAGCAGGACAGCAGATGCTTGACCCTGGTCCTAAGGGTATGCACAAGCAATCCATCAACACCAACATCAAACAAACATTTATACATATATACAGTTTCTTAGACATTACTCAGACTCAAAGCAAGAAGAGTCAGCTACCCAGTGCCCCATTTCCTCTCTAATAAAATCCTTTTCTTTAGGAAGTTAATGCCTGAGAGTGAAAGTCTTTCAAACTAAACTCTTGGATACTTGAATATTTGTAAAACTGCCTTCGACTATCTGTGAGCAAGAGTGGAGACAGGGTTTTCTTCATTTTTTTTTTTGCTTCTTCCTTTCAAAGTTTGGTTCTTCACAAAGAGGAACAGAGAGCCAACACCTTCAAAACCTCGTATTCTTTCTGTCATGTTGAAGATTCCATTCTTTTCAAATTCCTTCAATTATCAATGTCCCTTTTAAGTAATAAGAAGGCTAAGAAATATCATCATGCTATTATAATCACAGCATAATAAAGCCGCACCCTGGCCTCTGCACTTGGTGTTTCCTAAACCCCTAGTCATTTGTACTTATCAGAAGCAGGAGGTGAGGGAAATGAACTCATTGATTTGACCCACCTGGTTTCACTTTCAGATAAACGTTAGCTTTAAATTTCAACAGAGTTCCTTGTGTTACTATATATGTTACTATATACAATATATGATAGAATAATTAATAAACTAATATCTGTGACACCTTGGATGAAACAAGATAAAAACCCCTCTGTGTTTAGCCGTGAAATGACAAGGTCCTAAAGTATAATGCTTCACTAATTTCGTATGAATTGGAGTCATCAGTACAGATGTGTTTGGGAGTTTTCCACCTCTCAAGAGGCTTGTTAACTTTTCTTTTTTTTCTTTTTTCTTTTTTTTTTTTTTTTAGTTGTTAAAAAACAGCATCTTTTCCCTTACTTTACTTTTGGTTTATATAAACATAGCCACATATAAAATATCTTCATATCTTAGCACGTTCTTTTTTTTAAGAGTTTTGCTGTGAATAGCACCTCCACATGCCCAAGATAAGAATAACACACAGCATTGCTAATCTGTTTTTTTAAAGATTTATTTGTTTGTTTATTTATTATGTATACAATGTTCTGTCTGCGTGTACATCTGCACACCAGAAGGGCACCAGATCTCATTATGGATGGTTGTGAGCCACCATGTGGTTGCTGGGAATTGAACTCAGGACCTCTGGAAGAGCAGCCAGTACTGTTAACCTCTGAGCCATCTCTCCAGCCCATCTTAGCACATTTTATCTATACCAGCAAAAATATGTCATATTGAAGGAAATCAAAGCTAGAGCCATTTGGATGTCTTAACAGATACAAATTTTTGTCTAAAGAAAAAAGGCAATGTATCTTCTCATTTTCTAATATCTTTGAAGTTTACATGTATGTATGTATGTATGTATGTATGAAATTCACAAGTATAGAATTCTCATACTACCAGGTATGCATGTAAATATACGTATGTTTTTATTGCATATTATATTATTAGATGAAGGGATAAGAAAGGCATCCCAATATCGAAGTCAAAACCTAAAGTGATTAGACACTTCCCCACACACCTCTCAACAAGAGCAGAAGTAAAAGCAAGGCTTCTCTTGTAGCCCATCCTGGGAAAAAAAAATTTGCCTTCCTCACAGAAGGGGCTTAGTGCTTATTTTCAAAAATAAATTGTGGAAAATCACCAAAAAATTGAAGACAAAAAAGTAGAGTTTACAATTTGCTTTGGT